ACTGTAGTGTGGCCATATTTTCTGGTGGGGTATCTCATGACAATGTGCATTACACACACAGAACCAGAGCACGCAGCCAAAACAACCCAAAACATCACCCAAGTGGAGCAGAGCTGTTCCTCACAATGTTTTTTTTTCACTCACCACACGACAGCTCCTGACAGAGGAGCAGAACTTGGCACAGCGCAGCATGGCAGATCTACCCCCCTTTCTTTTTTTAGGCTTAATTAGAATACCCAAATAAAAACAAAAGCAGAACAGACACATATTGACATTACCACAATGCAGCAGAGCTCACAGCAAACACTGATACTCCACTATTGGCTTTTCTCATCCTCCACACACACCCACGTGCCCCTGGGTACAACACACACAGGTATCTGCAAAATACTGTGACAACCAGACAAATAAATCCTTGTGATGAGTGCTGCTGGGTGAGTTCCTGCTCTCTCTCCATGCTCCTTCTTCCCTTCTATATCAGCCAGGAAATTTCAGAATTAAACACTGTAAAACTTACAAGGAGGGCACTTTGTATGCCCTATTTCTGAAGGTATGGATGGTCATGACAAGCCTCCAAATGCTCTCATAATGTAGGACTAAAAAATCATTATTTGATTAAAATGTCATGACCTTAAAATAGGAAAAAAAAAAAAACCACAACAAGAAAATAACTGAAATCAAACATGGAAATACAAATCTACTTTTCCCCTAAGCAATGCCTGTTCACTGACAGGGGGTTCCCCATGATTTTTAGATCCTTGAAGGGCTGTCAGTGCTCTGAGAGTGCAGCTCCCTCTGCCTGACCCATGCCACATGCTTGTTTTCCCACTTCTTATGCAATGCTTTTTCAATTCGATTTTGAAACACAGCAGGGAAAATTTTAATGGGGAAAAGAACTGTTTTCACAAAAGGAAGATTTGGAAAGAACAACTTCATCCTCAAGGAAAACAACTCCCACTGAGCCCAGAAATCATGTGGCAACTCCTGCTGGACAGAGCCAACACACATCACTCCCAGGGCAGGGGAACACAGAAGTGCTGCTACCTTCCAGTGACAGAACCAAAGCACAGAGATGTACAGAAACATCAGCCAAACAGAACAATTGATTCCCTCCTCTCTTCCTCAGGATACAACCTGCAGTGAGACCAAACAGATTTTCCCCTGAAGACCACACGGAGTGTGAAATCTCACAGCCCATATACATTTTTGTGTTTCTGGAAATAATTAAACAGGTCACAAACTTCTAGAGCTGCAGCCCCAGACAGCAAAAAAAAACAAAACTGTTTGACTTTCATGGTTGTAAAAACAAACATCCCAGCAGCAGGACACACTGCCCTTAATTCCTAAAAGCCACTTCAGACATATCCTAATAGATCAGGACACTTCCTGAACTTTTTAAACTTCTCTCAGTCAGACAGCAAATCTGCATCACATTAACCACAAAAAAGAATTATTGACATGAGGCAGTTCTAAATTCCATTTTCAATAAAAGATTTGACTCTTACATCTCAAAAAGTCACACAGCTAGCACCAGAGGCTGCCATGAAAATGCACCTACACTTGTGTTAGAGGAACTTTTCAGAACTCAGCTGTACTCAAAGGTCCCAGAAGAAGTCAAGATGACAAGCAATAAAACAAACAGCCAGCTCACAGTTTGTCCAGAAGGCTGATCTGATCTGCGCAGTGCTGTGGGGACCCTGAAGAGGCAATGTTTGATCATCAAGGACAGATTCCCCAAGCACAAGAGCCCAGTCCAGCCCAAGAGGCAAGAGAATGAGCAAATGCAGGGGAAGGACAGTTTGGCTGGACAGACAAATTCTGACTAAGCTCAAAAAGAAAGAATCTGGGAGGTCAAGCAAACTAGTATGAGACTGACTTACACATACCAGTGCATTCTGTAGAGATAGGAAGCACCACCCAAGGTTTAAAGCTGCCACCTGCTTCATGTGAAGTTCCAGCTGGTGACTCAGGGAAACAGCACTGTCAGTATTCAAACACAACCAAGAAACATTTCAAGACACAGCAGGAAGCTCCTGGGATGGAAAAATAGTGCTCTGGTCAAGGCTTAACTCAGGAGAGACACATCTGCTGCAGAACTGAACTGTTCCATCACCTCTGAAATTAGGCTAGACATACCCTTAACCCCAAATAAAAGTCCATTTAAGAGATGGAAAGAGTCCCCATGACAATATTGTATTTTTTTTTTCTAAATACAAGGCTTGTTTTGTGGTTAGCTTGTTCAGTTAAGGCCTGATGGGTGACACCTGGAACAGACAGGGCAGTGCCTGCTGTGAATCACAGGGTCACCCTGAGGAGGCTGCTGTGCCCTGCTGTGTCACAGCACTCTCCTAAACATCATGTGGGGTATCAGGAGCAGATCCCAGCCCTTGCAACATCACCTTCACTGAGGCTCTGCAGGCAGCTGCAAGAAGAAAGAAAGGATTTGAAGTTACTCCCTCAGGTACTGGAGTGCCTCCAGGCATGGCATCTGCACAAACTATCCCAGAACCACTGCTGGAGAGGAGCCACCAGGGAAAACTGCTGGAGAGATGCTGGCTTGCAGCCCTTTAACCAAGTAGAGGAAAAAAAATTCTAGACAAATCAGGATGAAATAAAGGAAGTAAATTAAGGATATGAAAAAGACCTTCCTCAATGTATAATGCTGGTCATGGCACAGGGGTACAAACCACCCCCAAGTTCCTGTAAGAAGATGCTGTATGGAGATGGGTGGTCTGTAGAAACTGCTTGGTGCAACAACATACATAAAATACCAGTTGTTAAGTCCTGACATAATCCCATTTCAGGCTCAAAAGTTTCCACACCTCTCCATCCTGGCAGCTCCTTCTCCAATCACAGAGTTTTGCAGACCCAGTAAAAGTTTTATCAAGTATCTGTTTTCTAAGAGCAGATTTCAGGGGAAAAGAGCAGAGACTTGTCAAGAGGGGAAAAAAATAACCCTAATTCTGCTCGCTGAGAGTACAGGCATGGAGCTACTCACATCCCAATATTATCTGTTTTATGCCTTGAGTACCTTGTGTGTAGCATGGCTTGCACACAGGCCCACACTACTTACCTGACTTTAGGTTCAATTAAAGTATTTCAGAATATTTTATCTAGTTTTATGTTTAGCCATCTATAACCACCTTTTGGTACACAGAGGCTAGGAAATGGTACATTAATCTACTGTAGAGGGCTCTAACTCATTCATACAGCACATGGAAACCCATGGAAAATGTCAGAGGACATTTACAGTGTCCTCTGGCATATTCAACTCAAAATTCATTCAACATCTGGAGATTTCCAGGGCAAACCTTTGAGAAGTTACAAATACTTCCAAAGTCACTAATTACTTGGGAATTCCTACAGCTATTGCATACATCCCTGAGTGTTTTTCAAACAAATTATTTGAAAAGCAACAATTTTTCAATCAGATGTGCTGCACAACCCAACAATACACAGTTCCCCAGGTAACATAACTGCTGCTGAGGGAAGAGCTGAGGGGGAGACAAAAGTTGCAGGCAAACACTGCAGGAATTGCAGCTTGGAAACTGCAGGACCTCGAGCTCAGGATGTTTCAAAGAGAGCAGGGAGAATGCACCAGCAGATCAGTGCTTGTGTGGCAAAAGCTGGATGGAGAACCCCACAGGTAAGAGGGATTGCACCATGAGGTGACAAGGAAAATCCCTCACAACACAGTAGGTTCAGCCCAACCAGCCTGTAGGTTTGCAGGCTGAGAAAACCACTAAGTTCATGTATTTTTAAAAGTAACTTATTATGAAACCACTGCCATTCAGGCACATGAATTGTGATTCTTAATCAAACATCCCTTAATCAGCTTCCAGAGTTTAAGGTAATGCACAACAGACAAAACTGAAGGAAACCAAACAAGTGGCAGATAAGATTTTCGTGATTATCATTATCTTCATCAGTATGTTGCCTGTTGATTACTAGTTGGAGGTTACTGCACTACAGATTAGGTGCATCACAGAGCCAGCTCCATTCTGAAAGCAAACTCCACCACGACTCTTTGTTTGATGCTCTATCAGAAGGGCTCAGTGATGCTCCATCAAGGACTAGCTCTAGTCTGGAAACCATTCAGCCACACCAGACAGCACAGCAACCAAACTAACAAGGCATTCTGTGCTGGACCTGGCTGTACATAAAGCTCCAACACCTCCGCACAGCATTCCCAGAACCAGGAACATCCAGCAGAGCCCACCTGGATCCAACCTCGCTTGTGAAGCCTAAACCCAGCCCAAACATCCTATTAGAGTGTACAGGCTCCAGCATAAGCATTAAACCCATCCAGGAGCGATGCAGGTGTGCTGAACCGGCCCTGGGGAAGCCGGCACAGCCCGTGCCCGGTACCGGGAGCTGCGGTCCCTCCTGTGGCCATCTCCGGAGCCCCGGGCAGCGCTGGGGCCGGCTCTGGACCCTCAGGCCGCTCTCAGTGCCTGGCCGAGCCCCGGGGCCGGCTCTGGCTCCCCTGTCCGCTCCTGAGTGCCTGGGCGAGCCCAGGGAGCCGGGCAGTGCCCCAGGGCCGGCTCTGGGTCCCTCAGTCCGCTCTCAGTGCCTGGGCGAGCCCAGGGAGCCGGGCAGCGCTGGGGCCGGCTCTGGGTCCCTCAGTCCGCTCTCAGTGCCTGGGCGAGCCCAGGGAGCCGGGCAGTGCCCCCTGCCCCTCCTGCCTTTCTCCCGGCCCTTCCGCGCACCAGCAGCGGCGAAGGAGCCGGGACAGCCGGGCACGCCCCGCCGGGCTCGGGTGTGGCCAGGCAAGGTCCAGCCCCGGAGCAGGTCCAGCCCCGGACAGGGTCCAGCCCCGCGCCGCCGGTGCTGCCGCGGCCGCTCGGGCCCGCGCTCCGGCGGAGCAGGGGCAGGAGCGCACGCTGAGCACACGCGTCGGCCTCGCCGCCCGCGGCCCCGCAGCGCCGGCCCGCCGGTACCAGCCCGAGCCCGCGAACAGCAGCGGGAGCTCCGTGCGCAGGGCCCGAGCAGGTTCTTACCGAGAGGCGGCTCCGGAGCCGGGCCCGGGGCCCGCAGCGGACATGGCAGCGGCGCCCGCGCTCCCCGCCCGCCGCCGGAACAGAGCGCGGCGCCGGCAGTGGCGTCACTGCCCGCCCGCCGGGGCGGGGCCGCCGCCGTGAGGGGGCCGGGCCCGCGTGGGTCTGGGCGCTGTGGCGGCCTCACTCTTGGAGAAAACGGAAACTATTTTTTGTGAAGTCACCCTCACGCACTGTCCCAAGTGTATTTAAATAGAGGGGAGCCCGGCCGGGTGCCACCAAAGCCGCTCCATCATTGCCCTCAGTGGGGCAGGGCAGAGCAAACACAACGAAAGGCTCTGGGGGCGAGAGCAGGGTAGGAGGGATCTCTCACCCAGTACCGCTACGGCAGACATGGCCCGGCTGAGGGAATCCGTTTAATTTATTGCGAGATAAATCAGAGTAGAGTAACGAGAAATAAACCCACATCTTAAACCCCCAGCCCGCCGGGCAGGAGATCTCTCACCCAGCACCTGTACGGCAGACATGGCCTGGCTGAGGGAATCAGTTTAATTTATTGCGAGATAAATCAGAGCAGGGTAACGAGAAATAAACCCATATCTTAATCCCCCAGCCCTCCTGGCTGCCGGACTCGGCTGTATTCCCGATTCTCTCCCTCCTCCCCGCAGCGTTACAGAAAGATGAGAAAGTGGGAAAAGTTAAAGGGCAAAACACCTGGGGAACGAACTTTATTTAAAAGATCTTTTGAGGATCCATTTCATTGCAAGGTAAAGCAGAGTAATGCAACATTGCAGTAAGAACAAGAAAGTATTTCCAGGAACAGAAGTAGCAGCTTAGCCTGTATTTTTGAAATGCATTTTTACGGAATAATTAGCATAACATTTCCTGAAGTGGCCCTGGGGCTTTTCTCTCTGCTTATCCTTTTCCTCAGATGTAAGTTTATGTTTGTTCCCTGAGCCCACAGTGCTTGCTGTGGAATAAAGCCTGTTACGTACCCATGGTAAAGAGCTGAACTGTAAACTCCCACAAGCTTTCCAAGAACCAGTGGAAGATCATGCCAGCTTTCCATGTAAAAATATTTTCCATTTCCTCCAAGAGTTGCCAAGCTCCATTCATCAGGGCTTTAGGGTCTGTGAAATGAGAGCTCCACTATTGCTGGGAGCCAAGAGGGAAGGCAGGTCCTCCCCTCTGCCAGCTGTGAGAGCTCCTCATCCAGAATGTGCTCACAGAACAGTGCAGAAACAGAGGCAGATTCTCATTTTCAAATTACAGAAATTGCTCCCTTGCTGTGTGCTGTGGCTCTGCAGATTCAGAGTGCATCTTCGAAGGTGTCTGAGGTACTGGCAAATGTTTATTTTGGGTGGCTATTACTGGAGCAGAGCCCAGGACTAGGAGGGAGATGCACTCTTATTGTGATCAGACTCTGGCACTGGGCCTGGAGTGCAGGGCTGGCCCTGGCAATGGCCTTAGAAAAATAAACATTTTAATTCTTTTCCTTACTGGAACAAAGAAGGACAAAAGCTGCCTGAGGAGCTCCAGAGGATACATCTGAAGGACCTGCATCTCTGCTGGCAAAGCAGTACAAATACTGGTCCTGTCTTTGGAAAGGTTTGAGTTTATCTCTCCTGTTCTTAGGCAGGTATGGGAGGGCTGCTGTCCTGCACATGAACAATTGGTGTCACAGGTCAGAGACACTGCTCCTGTCATCAACAGACCAGGACATTTAGGGAACCAACAACTGTTGTGAAAACAAGTAAGTTCCCTTCCCTGCCCAATTTCCTGTGCCAGATTGAGCAATTTGGGTTAGAAAAGGAACCCCAAGTGTCTCATGACTGGTAACAGAACTCAGCACCCATGGAAAACCACTTTGCCCTGGGCGTGGAGTGTGTGAATTATTTCTCTGTCAAGTGTCCTGACCTAACACTTCACTTGCTGTAGATCAAGAACTAGTCAGCTTCAACAGGATGGAGGAAAAAAATAATGTAATGGCTCTAATCCTAAATTAAATAAATAAGTACAAAGATACAGAAGCATTTCAAGGCTTTTTTTTTTTCCTTATCTTAATGCCAATGCTGACAGTAGCCCTCTGTTATCTGGAGCCTCCTGAGCAAGACTGTGTGTCTGCAGTCAGTCAGAAATTACTGAACTGAGTGCACAGGCCACTGGCTGGCCAGTTCTGCTTTCACACAGGAAGCCAGGGCAGACCATAGTGTCCTTTGGCAGTAATGCTGATCTGGTGGAGGGAGGGGGGAGGTGGAGATGTGCTGAGGGACTGCCAATTTCTCTTCCTTTCCTTCCCTACTTTACTGACCCAAGATTTGCAAGTAAAGATTCATAACAGACATCTGTTTGGATCCCAGCAGATCATGTGAGCTGCTAAGAAGGAATGAAAGGATCAGAGGTGCAGATCTCTGACAGGACTTGAGGAATTCCATGGACTATGTCCCTTACAGCCACCCAAGAGCTTCATTAGCTCAGACTCTCTTCACCAGACCATGTAAGCTGCTTAGAAGAGCCACCTGATGGCACTCAGAGCTCCATCTGTTCTTCCAGGTCTTTTAGAAGTCCCTGACAGCTCTGATACTGGATCCTCTGCAAGAGCTGGGCAGGCAGAGGAGCAGGTTGCTGCTGTCTGGACTGACACAATGGGTAATTTTGGTACACTCAGCTTCTAACTGCTCACTGCAGAGGCTCAGTGACACATTTTTATCATGTTAAAGCAGTCATCTGAGCTGTTCTCAGTACCCATGAGAACAGCAGCCTGGACACAAGGAGCTTTGCTGCCAGATTACTGCAGGTTCCAGTTCTGCCCTTTGCATATGACAGAAGAAATGAGCATCCATTCTTCTGTCTAATGGGAAAAAGAAAATGTAAAATCCTGGTCCTCTGTTGTGTCCCTTGGTAGTTCTTCTTGAGAAAAGATGAGTGAATAATCCCCACCTCTCCATGTGCAATCAGAAAACACCGAGTGGCCCTAGCAGATCCTGATGCCATCCTCTTGGTGAACGGTGCCCTCAATGATTGTATCAGTCGTTTGCCTGGAGCATTTGCGGCTCCCTCTCATGCTTTTCAGGTTTTCTGAAACGTGCTTCTGGAACTTCTTGGTGAGGAAGCAGTAGATGATCGGGTCCAGCACACAGTTGGTGCTCAAGAGGCACAAAGTCACCTGGTGAGCATCGTTGAGCTGCTGGCGCAGCTGGCAGTTCTCCTTCTGCCACTGCTCCAGGACAGTCAGGGTCCAGGGCAGGTGCACGATGTGGTGGGGCACGAAGCTGATGATGAACACGGCCAGCACCGTGCACACCATCCACAGGGCCCTCTGCTTGACGTGGGCGCTCTTCCGTGGGTGCACTGACTTGGAGAACAGGGTCCTGATGATGACAATGTTCCAACCTAGTATTAAAAGGAAAATGATGTAGAAGAGGATGCAGATGATGACATGAATGGCAAGAACAGCTGAAACACCACCCGTGGTGTCGTAGCGCTCAAAGCACCGCGTGAAATTCCTGGAGTCCACCTCCTCTGGAATGGTATTTTTGTCAAAAAGATAATACAAAGAGCTGCCCACTATTATGATCCAGATAGCTGCTGATAAGTAGATCCCTCTTCTCTGGGTGGTCAGCTGAGCAGCTTTGATAGGATTAGTCACAGCTTGGTAACGGTTGTATGTGATGACCATCAGAAAGGCAACAGAAGTGTAGGTATTAACAAAAAAAAACCAGCCAGCCACGTTACAGAGGAACTCAGGCATGATCCAGTCTCCATGGTTGTGGTAGTAAACAATCCACATTGGCATTGTAATTAAGAAAAGCAAGTCAGCTACTGTCAGGTTCACCATGAAAATCTTGATTTCATTGAGTTTCTTGGTGGGGTAAATACGGCTGAAAATCCAGAGAACGTAGCAGTTGGCAACAAAGCCTAGAATGAAAATAATGCTGTAGAAAACAGTGAAGAGGCTGTAGCGGAACTCAGAGTCTATGTGGCATGAAATGTAGAAATCAGCACTGCCTTCTGCATCTCCTTTGCCTTTCCCAGACATCATGGTGTTGAGTGGCCACGTCTGAAGCTCAGTTTCCTGACACAGTTTGCTTCTTACCTAAAAACAGACAGCAGAAATCAAGATGATTGTTTTGGCACCATTGCTAAACCAAACCCCACCTTTCTTTATCAGTTGTCTATGACCATAGGAGTTCTGCTGATGCCTTGGTTCAAGCCAGACACCTGCCCTGTCCCCTTGGTCTTCTCTTTGATCCCATTTCCACAGCATACAAACCTCTGTGTCTTCATCCAGCATTGTTTGCTGCAGTGAGATCTCAGATTACTCATCTCTAATCTTAAAATACTTTTCTGCATGAAAGTTCTTAGATAAAAGTAATCTGTTACACTTCCCTGTCTCAAGCTTCTTAATCTTTTACTAGAATCAGGCGTGTTTTCTGTGACTAATCCTCTCCCTGCTTGTGGTTCTTCTTTCTTCCTCTGCCACCTCCCCCATGCCACCACTTCTCACCACAGTTCCTGATACTTTTTATCTTCTTTACACTTGTTTTTAAAGGATTCCGGATGTGAAACAGTACGTGATACAAACCTCTCCCAGAACCCCAGAAGAGTTGGGGTTGGAAAAGGCCTTGGGAGATCACCTGACCAGCCCCTGCTGACGCACATTTACCCGGAGCAGATCGTGGAGGAGGGCACCCAGGCAGGGTCTGAATAACTGCAGGGAAGGAGAACCCACAGCTTCTGTGGGCAGCCTGTTCCAGGGCTTTGTTACCCTCACAGATAAGAAGTTTTCCTCATATTCAGTTGGGACTTTCAGTTTATGCCTGGTATGGGCACCACCATGTCCTGCTGCTGGGCACCACTGAAGAGTCTGGCCCTGTCCCCCTGACCCTCCCTGCAGACACAGACAGACAGGGATGAGGGCCCCTCTCAGACATCTCTTCTCCACAGCCCCAGCACCCTCAGCCTTTCCTCACCAGAGAGATGCTCCAGTCCCTTCATCATCTCTGCAGCCTCCACTGGACCCGCTCCAGGAGCTCCATGGCTTCCTTGGGGGCTTTAATCATAGACTGAGGAGCCCAGAA